ACTTAGCCAGTACTGTGGCTTGGAACCAAGCACCCATATACACATGCATGGCATTTGTTGTATGCTGTATGTATGTAAATATATGTGTGTATATGTATGTATGTATGTATGCATATATGTATGTATGTATGTATGTATGTATGTATGTATGTATGTATGTATGTATGTATGTATGTATGTATGTATGTATGTATGTATGTATGTATATATATATATATATATATATATATATATATATATATATATATATATATACACACACACATATATATATATATATTATATAACATTTTATATATATATATATATATATATATATATATATATATATATATATATATATATATATATATATACATATACAGCCAGGCATTGCATTCACAGTTATTTACATTTCTTTGGTTAATAATGTTGGTATTGAAAGTGTTCACCCTACTTTTGATTTGCTAATTTCCATATGAAGCAAAAAATGTATGTTTACTTCTTTTTTACTTTTTCTAGGTAAAATATCTTGAGTTTTAAGTATTTTGAAGTATCAACTTAGCATGTGTATAAATAAGGAGGAATAAGAGTTTTCTGCTGCTGATGTGACTTCATAAAAATGGCAAAGGATTAAGTAAAAGATGTGCTAAGAAACAGTCTTTTAATCTTTATAAGAACTTTGTTTTACAATACATGACTTGATCATAATAATAAATGAAGGTCCTGTTATGACCTTATTAAAAGGTGGAGGAGTCCTATATTTTCTTACTTTTGTTTTATCCCACAAACACTTAGCTGCATTTGCATTTTAATTATTATGTAAGGGGCCATTTATATATTTTTTCTTCTTCTCTTCTTTTTTTTTTATTCCCTTCCAGTCCACTGAAAAAAAAATCAGTCAGACCCTGGATATAAAATTACCTCACTGAAGCTCCATTATAACTGCTTCATATGTATGAGTTCTTTTTTTTTATTACTAGCAAAATATAAAAGTCTTATATCTTTAGCGTCTTCTATTCACATGATAACATATGACTCAACGAGGGTATACAATTATAGTCAGTGAAATGTTCATCTAAACAACAAGACTTATTTTCAATTAAATGTGTTATTCCTACATGTCACATACCAGTATATGACAAATCCTTGTATGACCTACATGACCAGACACTCCACTTTCACACAGTAAGAGTTCAAAATATATTCTACAAAAGTAAAAACACTGCACATGCATGGTATAAGCATGGACAATGTATACCAATCCAAAATGTACTTGTGTTCTAATATTGTGCACTTCCATATGAGATGTAATATATAACCCATCTGCCTATCATTTACATTTTCATATATAAGTATATCATTCTAGATTACAGGCTATCCACAACTCAGCATGAATCTCTGGACAAACTACAAACAACTGTCCTAATCACACTGTGCGCGTCATTAGCAATTTCTGCCAACACACACACATTAAGAACAGCTGCAAATGGTTCTTCTCCCTTTTTAATGATATGGGCAACAATATCTTCTGAAGGAAGGATCTCCCTATATTGCTTACAAACTACACTACCAAAAATCAAAATGGTATCATCATGTTCTCACCACTAGCACAATGAAACCATGAGCATTATTCATAAAGCCTTTTGTGACTCCCGATATATCAAGTCAATAAACTCCACTATCTTCCATATGTGGTCCTCAGGAGCCATACGAGCTTCATCCACATCTTACCTGTAATTTGGCCTTTTAATCTTTAATCTAATTACAATTCATCTTGCAAATTGCAATTTTCTTCAACACCTTCAAATTATAGATATTTTAAGACTAGAATAAACAAGCCACAGGAATAAAATTTCACAACTAAATATCTTCTAAATATATATATGTACACACATAAAAATAAAAGATATATCCACATAAAAAAATAATGTAACAACAATACAAACGAAAAAAAACAAAAATATCAAGTACTCTTACGAAATGGTCTTCCTTTAGTAGGAAGAATGAGGCTGAGAAGGAAAATGATGATGATGATGATAACATGACAATGACAATGATAATGACAATGATAATGACAATGATAATGAGGAGTAAGATGAGGAAGAGGAGGAAAAGGGGAGGGGGAGGTTAGATGAACTAGAGGAGGAGGAGGAGGAGGAGGAGGAGGAGGAGGAGGAGGAGGAGGAGGAGGAGGAGGAGGAGGAGGAGGAGGAGGAGAAGAGAAGAAGAAGAAGAAGAAGAAGAAGAAGAAGAAGAAGAAGAAGGTGAAGGAGGATGAGCAAGAGGAGGAAGAGGAGGAGGAGGAGGAAGAGGAGGAGGAGGAGGAGGAGGAGGAGGAGGAGGAGGAGGAGGAGGAGGAGGAGAAGAAGAAGAAGAAGAAGGTGAAGGAGGATGAGCAAGAGGAGGAAGAGGAGGAGGAGGAGGAGGAGGAGGAGGAGGAGGAGGAGGAGGAGGAGGAAGAACAACAGCAGCAGCAACAACAGGAGGGGGAGGAAGCACCAAATTCTTTATACAAGAAAAAAAAAGAAAAAAGAAAAAAAAAAAAAGAGAGAGAGAAAAAGAATCATTTGCAAAAAGCTCAATAAAAAATGGTGCAACACTCACACAATTACCCACAAAACCAATATACATCACTACAAAATGAAAATTACTTAACGACAGCGATATATTGCTTGCAAGATCTACACACAAGAAATACTCACTGCAAAAACAGTGAAAATAAACAGCACAAATATAAAGGAATTAACGTAAAATAGTAGTCTCTTCAAAGCAAGAAGGATTGCTACATGAGGTAAACATATAGAGCATACGTATATTTATTACAAGTGGTAACTGTAATGATCCCAGAACTTGACTCCAAGTTTATATAATACAAAGAAAAAGACGGCTAATATTTTTGAAATATTACATATAATAGTTTTGCTATTCCTATGGTGTAATAATGCCATACTCGATAATTATATGATGCACACATGGGAAATTCTCTCCAATTACCTACGGAAATATGAATTCCTTAATTTTCTGAAAAAAAAAAAAAAAAAAAAAAAAAAAAAAAAAAAAAAAAAAAAAAAAAAAAAATTGATTTAGGTCCTTCCGAGATTTAACAATATCATACTAGTTTCTGACGAAGCATAGTTTCCTTAATATTCTGGAACTTAATAAATAAAAAAAAAATTGAATATAGGTCCATGTGAGACTAGCAAGATTTTACTACTTTCAGAACCTAAATGAAAATTCACTACTTTTAAACTAATCTCATTATACACATAAAAAAAATAATAATTAAATAATTAAATAAATAATAAACATTTGATAGAAGCAACTCTTACCAGATGCTGTTAAGAATATTCGATCAATATAATTTTCTGAGGTTTAATGTCATTCAAAGGGAATTCAAAATTATTTTTTTCTAAAATTGTGCAAAAAAAGGTAAATTAAATTATCAACATCTTACGTTTTACTAACAAGGAAGAAACAAGATTAATGTTTTGTTTTTTTGTTTTTCTTCTTTTTTTTATTGTGCATAAAAAGGTAAATCTCGCATGCACATCAACTTATCTTCTTACAAGTTCACTAAACAAAGATGTTTAATAATGATTTAAAAAAATAATAATAATAATAACTTTAGTACAACAAAATGCAACTATATACGAGAGCAAAAGGTACGCTTAAACATTTTTGGTTCTTTGAATAGCTCTACCTTATTTATTCTCTCTATACCCTCTATCATATGCCTATATCTACATATACCTCCACTACAAAACATTATAAAATACTTGTATATTTCATAAAGAGTTTACGTTTGGATTCCAAAATCTTACCCATGAAAAATACTTCACGTACACTCACAATCATACGGAAAGAGTACAACTGTTTCACTGTACCATAAGTAGCTGTAATGTTTTAACATCATATCACATCGTTAGTAAAAAGAACAGAGAATTCCGAAGGGGGAAAAACAGCCCTTATCGTTGTCGCCGTCGTGATCGTAAAAGAAGGAGAAGCTTAATTCCGCCGTGGAGGATGAGGGGCCACACCAGGAGGAAAAAGGTGGAGCGAGGAGAGAGCTCTGGGAACGGCCACCACGAGGGCTCCATGCGTGCTGTTGGGGTGTTGGAGCTCCCCGTCTGAAAGGAATATTTACCGATTTATATGTATTTGTTTTTCGGTTGTGTTAGTCTAGAATACGGTACTTGGTTTCCTAAAATCATATGTATCAAAATCCATATTTTCTGACTGAGACTCTCTTGAGCTTCTACAGTACAAAACTTACAAGCAGTGTACACTGGGCACAGAATTTTTAAAAATCTACTTTAATACACAAATATTTCGGCTCAAATAATTCTAATGTGAATATTTCTAATAGAGATAAATTGGAATTTATTTGGTCTTATCCTGTGTTGCCACATAACTAGATAACAACAACAGTCATATTTCATTCTTTGGGATGAAAATCAAATAAGGCAAAAGTGAGTTTAAATACAAGAAAATAACTTTTTTCCAACATGTTTCTATCCTACAGCTATAGTATCTCTTCATCCTCCTGGCTGCTTGCTGGAACACCTGAGTTTACAAAGATATGACACTTAAAAATAAACAGCACACGCAAGTATAACCTCCTCCCGACAGAGAAACCAACCTGGCAGTGGTGACAGACAGTGTGGTGCTGACTCAGGGTGATTGTCTCCAGCGTGTTCAGCCTGTGCAGCACGCTCTCCATGTCCGCCTGCAAGCGCCTCAGCACCACCACCAGCTGCGCGTTCACGTCCTCCACGATGTCCGTGCTGCCGCCTCTGCCCCCGTCCCCCCCCGACCCACCTCCTCCACTGCCTCTGATGAAGCCTCCTGAGTGGATGGGCGTCGCAAGGCTGCCCGAGGACACTTGGGATGTGTAAAGGGGGGTGCCACTAAATCCTGTTTCAGCGAAAGACAAGGAGAAAATCTCACTGTTTAATGAGCTCTAAAAAGTGGCTTATATTCTGCTCAATGACTACAGATCTATGTACTGTCTCCTTTAG